TAAAGCCAGTCCTAACAACTCTATCATATTACGCTTCTTTCCATAAATAAGAAGGTCTTAAAGTAACATGTAGCTCAGGAAAAGCAACTCAACCTATGAAAACCCTAAAGCCATTTCTAACAAGAATTTGGGGAAAGAGAAGGGAAAGGTAATATAAATATTTTCAATAGACACCTACCAACCTTCCCCACACATTGCCAAATCCATTACTTCCATACTTAACTTACTGGGGAGAAAATGCTTTGGAAATGATGGATCTACACTGATCTTACCATACATAGCAGTAATAATGTCTTCCATTTGAATACACATTGCTTTCAGAAAGCTTCCAAGATTATTAAATCATCGCACAATATAAGACAGGGGTGGAGGATATTCGACATAAGAAACTGAGGCTCAGACAAATCACTATTATGTAACTTGCTTAGAATCGTGTAGTGGTAGTTAAATTCAAGTTAGGGGATTGGAATCCAGGTATGATTTTAAGTCTAATGCTCCTTTCAATATGTAACTCTGGCTCTATATGTAACTGCGGCTCTATATGCAACTACTGGTCTATTTGTTTTATTTTCAGAATTACCATATAAAAACAGATGCCCTTCCTATCTTCTTTAGAAATGTAAGACATACTCTGATGAACGTTTTCTTTGCCACAGCAAAATTCTCAGTTCTAGTTCTATTCCTTCCTCTAATTTTTATTTTTGTTTTTTATTTATTTTTATTTTCTGAGACGGAGTCTCCTCTGTTGCCTGGGCTGGAGTGCAGAGGTGCAATCTCAGCTCATTGCAACCTCTGCCTCCCAGGTTGAAGTGATTCTCCTGCCTCAGCCGCCCGAGTAGCTCGGATGATGGGTGTGCACCACCGTGCCCAGCTAATTTTAATTTTTAGTAAAGACAGTGTTTCACTATGTTGGCCAGGTTGGTCTCGAACTCCTGACCTCAAGTGATCCACCCTGCTCAGCCTCCCAAAATGCTGGGATTACAGGCATGAACCACTGCACCCGGCTTCTTCCTCTAATTTTAAAGGGATTTTTAGAATAAGTTATTTGAAATCAACTAAAAAATTGGACCTGATCTTCCTTGGTAGCAAGTTTTATAGTGGATATAGGTCTTACATCTTGAAATGATCTCCTCAGCCCACTAGGAAGTCCTATTGGAAAGACTTATGTAGTACTGTTTATACAGTAAATAAATTTCATCTCTTTGGAGTTTGTGTAACAAAAAAACAAAGACTGAATAACAGCCTTCCTGAGCAGGAGTGTGCAGAAGAAAAAGATGGCCCTGACTTTGGCTCACGCTCAGGACTGCTCTTCATCTCATTCTCTCAGCACTCGGCAGGCATGTGAAACACACAGCAGGCATCAAGTAAATGTTGACTGCTTATCATCTAGACTCCAGTTCTGATTATGCCATTAGGTGTACAACAGCAAGTCAGCTTTCCTTTACTAGCCTGCCTTAGAATCATATATTCAATAGGTACAGAGAGAGAGAGAGTGTGTGTGTATGTGTGTGTGTGTGTGTGTGTGTGTGTGTGTGTGTGTGNTGTGTGTGTGTGTGTGTGTGTGTGTGTGTGTGTGTGTGTGTGTGTGTGCATGAGAGAGAGAGAGAGAGAGAGAGAGAATGCATACACACTTATCCCTGGCCCGTGATTATTTAAGTCAAAGAGACATTAGGTTGGATTAAGAGTTTCCCGAGAAGATTTTTCTCATCTAAGCATTAAGAGTTAGAACTCAACAGATACAAACAGCCCACAGATATCCTGTTAGGCTTGCTGAACCTTGCTAAATATTTTCTATAACTATGCATTACTTGCCAACATTTAAAAATTGAGGTATTACATATAAAAAGGACAGGTACCAAGTATTCCTGAAGCCAGGTTGAAGAGCAGGGCTGAAAACAGGAGGAGTTGAAACCATATATAAAGCATGGTTAATACTCTTACCCTGAGTCCACATGGCCAGAAAACTATCCTTTCTCCACGTAAGTAGAGGTCTAGGGGTTATCAGTTGACACCGACCCAAAGAAGTTTTACAATGGGGACACAAGGCATAGCTGGGGATGGGATTAAACAAAATTCTTCATATAGATCTATAAGACCCACAGCCCTATTTCCCTATTTGGCTCTTAGAGCCACAGTTTAATTACCAGGCAAATACTCTCTAGAGAGGAGAGTGAAGTTTCCTCTTTTGGGAAGTTGACTGATTTCAATAGTAGAAAGTCAACAGAGAATGTCTAATACTGAAAATCAAAAAATATTATGAGCATGTTATAGGCAGAGGTAGAGAAAGGGACTGTTGTGCTTTTAAAAAATAAGCTTTTTAATATTATTTGATTTAAAAATTATATAGTTTATTGCTTTGACAAAAAGAAATACTTAATTACAAAAATAGTAGAGGTAATAAAAAAAACAAGAAGGAAGAATAGAATGAAAAACAGAAGATTCATGAATAAGAAAAAATAAAAGAGGCCAGGCACAGTGATACATATCTACAGTCCCAGATACTCAGGAGGCTCAGGCAGGAGGATCACTTCAGCCTAGGAGCTCAAGGCTGTATGTAGTATGCCATATTGTAGTGGATATGCATATTGTGCCTGTGAATAGCCACTGCCCTCCAGCCTGGGCAACATAGCAAGACCCTGACTTTAAAAAAAAGAGAGAGAAAAGAAAAAATATGTGCATGGGATCTGTCAGAATAGTGGCAGAAAGGCTGAATCCCCAAATTAAACAAGATTTGCTAAAAATAATCTAAAAAGGTACTTTAGTTACATAGAGCAAGATGATGATCAAAGGGACAGACTTACAGTGATTGATGATGTAATGCTGAAGAGTAACACAGAGAAAACAAACCCTCAATTATGGTTAGTGAATCCAACAACAAGGAGAGTCATAAAGTTCTGTCCTTGTGCACTAAGAAGCCCAAGTACCAAGTAAAGGCTAGGGATGCAGAACCAACCACAACCCATGTGGAAAGTATTAACAGAGCACGGGTTCTGTGGCCTCTAAAAAAACCCTTATGTGACACTGGATGTAAAGCAGCCAAAGATTTTTATCTGGCCTGGTCAGACCAAATCTGCTAGATGTATTCAGTTAATCCATAAACAGAGGTAGAACAAATTCAGCAGAGAAAATCAGTATGGCAGAGGAACTGACATAATTTTTTTAGGAACTACTAAATAAACTTAGGGGTACTATCTCTGGAGAACACCTAGAAGGTGACATGAGAACTTCCTTATAAGAAAGGAAAGGGACACTAGGAATGCATGTGCACAGAGAACAGTGAGAAGGTGGCCAAGGAGAGAGACGTTGAGAGAAACCAAACCTGCCAGCACATTAATCTTGGACTTCTTGCCTCCAGAACAGTGAGAAAATTAATTTCTGTTGTTTAAGCCACCCAGTCTGCGACACTTTGTTACTGCAGCTCTGGCAGACTAGATGGTCCATATCCTAAATCAGTAAAGAAAGCAGCAGGGGGCTGGGCACAGTGGCTCATGCCTATAATCCCAGCACTTTGGGAGGCCAACGTGGGACAACCACTTGAGCCCAGAGTTTGAGGCTACAGTAAACCAAGCTCATGCCGCTCCACCCTCGCCTGGATAAGAGAATGAGACCCTGTCTCTT